GCATCAGGTTTGTGAAGTTGTAGCGTAAAGTTTTGCATCCTCCTTTTGTATATTTATAGAGAATTGTCGTGAATGTGTCAAAATCTCACAGCTAAAAGTTTTGAATAGGGAGGAGAGATCGCTAGATTACTCAAACATGCATGGATAACATCTAAAACCTCTTTGGGCATGTTTTTGATGAGGGAAAAACATTATAACATGGTAGAAAGTTCCAAAAAGTAGATTTTGCATAATATCTTGTTTTGGAAATTATAGGAAAATGATTTAAGTCCTTTATTATTGTTAATTCAGGTGTTTTGACCTGATATTAGGACAGTTTCAGCATTGTTTTTTGTACATATTAAACCTCCTTTATTGTGCAAAATTGACTCTTGTGAACTTGAAGTCATGTTATAACGCTGTTACCTCATCAAAAACAGACCTGGAGTTGCATTTTGTTTAATTCAAACGTTTGAGTAATCCCTTATTATTAGTCTCCAAAGCTCCAAAGCTCAAAATGCTCTGTTCCACCTTGTGATGTCATGAATCTGTCATTTTCAAGTTAATAGCTCCTTTTACCTTCAGGCCCCATCCACACTAGTACATATTTGAGTTGTTTTCGTTGCGGATGCAGTGTTCATCCACACTTATTTGATGGAAAACGGCTCCAGAGACGGAACGATCTGGTGCCTCCAGCTCCCACGAACTCATCAGAGTACAGATCTGATCCGGCACTGTGTGGACACCTGAAAACACTGATACTCTGATGTAGGAGCTCTAGTTGCGTCCTTATTGGACCACGTCACTGTGACTTGCTCCTTCCTGCTGATTCACTGGGTTCGTGACATAGATCATGTGATGCTATTGTGGAAAACTGTTTAAACAAATCAGAGACAAACAAGAAACAGCGGCGCTACAACTACTTGCTAGTAAACGGTCCACGAAAAGACTGTTTTTACGCTTGCCATCTTCCTCGGCTCGAAATCAGCTGCTGCAACTTCAGACACAGTTAGCAGAATATCACTCTGTCACAGAAAGAACACACATATTCCACTGAGTCATGTCCTTTAGTCCGACAGAAGCTGAACCGCATCAATGCACAAGGAGTGAGCTGTGTGAATAGGTTCTATTCAAACTTACATCACAAACCAGAAAGACGTTTAGAAACACGTGATGACAGCTTCCGACGAGCTCTGTTCGCGGAAGTAAGTCTGACAAAATCTAGGAAACATGAGAAAATGTCCCAGTTTTCTTCATCTACATGTCATTGTACCGTTCCATTACGTTTGGAGAATCAAGAATTACAACCATACCTCAGCTTTCATCATTTCCCCACTGACACACAACTCCGAGTGCCAAAGTCCTGCATTGGGTCGGGTACCGGTGTGGACTTAAGAGGGTAGTCGACAGGTACAGGCTAATAGTTGCTGAAACGAGCAGGTTTTAATGTTCTGGAATTTTACGGGCAGGTAGTGATTACACATGGGTGGGTCAGGACTAAACTAGGACTAAACCAGGACTACACCAGGGCTAATCTTGGACTTAAGAGCGAGAGCCCCGAGCCAGTGGAGCAGGGTGTCAGCAATGGGGCGATGGTTGCAGTTTCCTCCGTGCGACGCAGAACATTTACTCCGGTCCTTTCGCCTGCGGTCACTCGACGGACTACGTGGGCACACCTCCGGACCTGTCCCAACAGTGAGTCCTGGTTCAGTTCTGGTCTTAGTTCAGTCCTGAGTTAGTCCTGGTTCAGTCCTGGTTCAGTCCGTGGCGTGTGCAGTGCAAAAGTCCGGCATCTCGATCAGTGTTTCTTCTGCTCAGTAAATAATGCTTGCGAAGTGAAGAAGATGATTCCAAACAGCACATACGTATGCAGTCTTCATTTTACCTCTGATCACATTTACTTCAATGGGTTTTATCACATTTTTATCGGCCGACAATCCCAGTGTCAGGAACTACACCAGGATTTTGTCATCTGATGTTTCCAAACGTCTTCCTGGTTTGTGATGTAAGCGTGAATACAGCCAATTCCGGGGTTGAAATCAAGTTGGAACAGAGAATTTTCAGTTTGAAAGAAGAACTCAGCCTAAATCTGCAGGGTTTGTGTGTTAAACTTGTACGAATAAAACAAAACACAACTCCAAACTACTGTGTTATAACATCAGAAAGTAGCGTAATATGGGCCTTTTCACAACAATCCAACCCAAACTCTTCTGATACTTCGAAACATCAGGATAAAACTGTATGCAAAATGCGTCAAAAAAGTGAACAAACATCCCTCGTCTCGTGACATGAGATTTGGTTTGCTAATTCACAAAGTCCTCGTGACAATAAGATGCCGGCGCTCCAACTTCGATAAGCTCTCATCTGTTTTTGACACAAAGTTGACACTCACGGCTAACCCCATCGCAGACGCCGCCGCGCTGCAGGCACTAACCGCTGCTCCCCCGGCTGTGGGCAGATTACAGGGGGAGGAGAGGGGCGATATTAGGCTCGCGGGAAAGGGGTAGGGGGTAGGGGGTTTGGGGGTTAGACTACCAAAAGGGGAGGATTAGCGAGACATCTGTTTGAGCGAGGGAGAAGACGGTATCAAAGACTGCGGCGGTTCCCAAATCATCAAGTTTTCATGAGCGATCTTCAGTGGTAAATATGAGCGAGAGAGGCCAGGGTCTCAGGGGGAGGGACGGGGCAAGAAGTTTAAGCAGTAAAAGACTCGACAGACTCCACGTGTCAACACTGATTTCGCCAGTAAATCTGTATTTATTTTCAGAATAGAATCGAAGCCATATCATAGGGTGACCAAACGTCCGTTTTTCCCTGGACATGTCCGTATTTTGCGTCCTGTCCGGGGCGTCCAGGTTTTTTTTTTTTTTATAAAGTGATGCAAATGTCCGGGTTTTCAGTACCGTTCATCAGGGGCATTAAACTGAGCGTCTCTCGTAGCGTCTGTGACTCAGAAGGAGCGAGACACAAACAGTCGGTCAGTCTGCAACACACCGAAGCACAAATGCGCATTTAACGATTACTTGTAACAAGAAATTCTTCGTTTTCCGTCCCGGTCGAGACAAGTAGGAGGCCATGTGCACAGGTTGCGAAGTGAGAGTTCAGTGTCCCTCGTTTATCGCGGGGGTTATGTTCTAAAAATAACCCACGATAGGTGAAATCCACGAAGTAGTCAACTTTATATTTTACAATTATTCTATCTGTTTTAAGGCTGTAAAACCCCTCACCACAAACTTTATACACTTTTCTCAGACAGGACAGGTGCAACACTTTTTACATCCTTCTTAAAACTTGTTGCTGCTGTCGTCCTTTTGATATTTTCCTCCTTCTTTATGTAACGAACTGAAGATTAATTTATTCCGTAATGGAGCCCAACAGCGCAGACTCCTGCAAGGGTTAATTTTTGGGGACCCCCAGTACAACACCGCACCCGCGCAGTACAGGACCGCACCTGCCCGTTAACCAGAGATTATATCAAACTTTTGCGCTGCCTACGCCACGGACTGAACCAAGACTAAACCAGGACTAACCCAGGACTGATTCCAGGACTGAAGAGGAGGACTAATCCACGACTGAACTAGGACTAAACCAGAACTGAAACAGGACTCACGGTCGGGACGGGCTCGGAGGTGACCGCAGGAGAAAGGACCGGTTCAGCTCCACACCTCACGGAGGGAAACGCGGCAGTTGCCCGATCGCGCTTTGCGGACAAACTGCTCGGCGTTCTCTCTCTTAAGTCCAAGATTAGTCCTGGTTTAGACCTGGTTTAGTCCGGACCCACCCGTGTGTAATTACTACCCGCCTGTAATACACAATATGCATTCATACGCTGTAAAAAAGCGTCGTCCCCACTAGCAAGGGACGACTGTAGTTCAATGTCGAGGCCCCACCTCCCACCTCCTGTAAGGTGTCCAGGTTTTCACAAATGGAAATACGGTCACCCTACCATATCATAAGCGATTTTCTGATCTATTGTGTGTTCTAATGTAGTTTCCTCATCACAAACAGAGCTGGAGTTGTGTTTTGTTTCATTCACGCATGTTTAATGCACAAACCCTGCATCAGAGTCCTGCACAGGTCCATTTTTTGGGGACCCACACCTGCCCGGACCCGTTAACATTCCACCCCTTACCTACTCTCCTCCTCAGCTGACAGATTTGTAAAGCGTGATGAGAGAATTCTACAGCTGCGGAATAACTGCGAAAAAAGTTTGGATCGTGTTTGTGTCCGTGGCGTAACGACAAACCGAGATGACAAAAAAGCCGGTAGCAGCTGAAGTGTGTGTTTTCTTCCGGTCGACGTAAACACGTTCGTGTCTCTGTCCAATCAGAACCCTTCCCCACCCCCAGACGTTGATTGGAATTAACTAAAGACGATTTCATGTGTTTTCTATATAAACCTCAATTCGGAATTATTATTTCCATGTAAACTCGAAGGAAAATATTTTAATTCCAAACTATTTAATTCAGAAGAGTTAATTCGAAAATTAAAAAAACATCACGTAAACGTAGCCAGCGAGTGATTTCTGGAGGCTCTGAGCTTTCATTGCTTTGTTTGGAATGTTTCACAGTATGGCTTTAAACCTTTCTATGTTCATGGAGACCAAACCAGACCAAGTTACAGGTCAGATCTGTGGAGAGGCAACCCCGCTCACAGTCAGAATGCCTGTTTTTCAAGGTATTTTTGAGCTATAAAACCACCTGTAATTGAATAAATGTAAAGTAGATCTGTTTAATGCCATACTATGGAACATTCTAGACAGAGCAATGACATAGAAATAAGCAGGTGATGGACCCTGAACCAAAAAAGTTACATGGAGCACAAAAAAAATTACAAAATTTGAATTGTATTTCCTTTTTTGTTAGTGAAAACTGAGCTTTTAGTACAAATGTCAGTTCAGATTGTTATATTTCCTGTTATTTTTGAGGATGGTTGGACATATTTTGCAGTTTTTAAATATTAATTGCTACGGTAGCAGTCCTAACTTTTTATTTTTTTGAAACCTGTGTATAGTGGCTGACCTGGTCTCCGCGTGCAGCCTCCAGCATGTCGCTCCACACCTCCCTGATGAGCTGAGCGTCTCGGGGCCTGGTGGTGTAGCAGTGGGCCTGGAGGACGTGGCACAGGGACAGACCGGGGAGCGCGGCCTGGAGGACCTGCCCGACGTGAGTGAAGCAGAGGCGGGCCTGTGCTCTGGTCCCAGCCCCGAGCAGCTCCATGGTGCAGGGGACCAGGGCGATCTGACCCGCACAGAACACGACCTCGTTCACCTGCGACAACACAACAAACAGCAAAAAGATGTCAGAAAAACACAACATGAACTTTATTTAAAAATACAGTGCAACAAAATGTACTTTTCATAATCATAAAAACATATACAGCAAGTGTGTACATGTACATACAAGTACAACAGTATGACCTTGATGTAACAGATATAAGACCCCATGGGAATAGAAATGAAAGTACCACCATTTAAAGTTGAAAATCACATTTTATAGTCTAAAAAAAGAATGTTTTTATTATCATTGTGGTATCAGAGTCTATTCTAGTCTATTCTGAGCACAGATCTGATGCGGCACTGTGTGTGGACGCCTGAAAACATTGATACACTGATGTAGGAGCTGTTTAACTCTGGGCAGATACATGAATTACGAGACTTAGGCTACGTTCAGACTGCAGGGCTTAACGCTAAATTCGGATTTTTTTGTGAAATGCGATTTTTTTGCGAAGTTGTTCACATTTCCAATTAAATGTGACTTGAATGTGACTCCAGTGTGAACATTAAATGGCCCAAAAGTGTCCCGCATGCGCACTGGAGACACGACAACGTCAACCGCAGCGAGCGTGCTCTGTGTTTACGGAAGTTGTCCAAACATGGACGCGAGCATTGAGCACCTGGAGATTTTAAAGTTCTTCTCATGCCAGAGCCAGAACATGAACAACTTACTTGTTTTAAGAAGGAGATTGAGAAGGAGAAGGACGAGGTTTTTGGTCGTGGTGTTTTGTGGGGCAGCGGCAGCGACGTCCGTTGAAAGGAACGTGTGGATGTGGAGACGGAGCCAAGAGTGGTGAGTGGTGATGTGCTTCACTTCAGTGACGCGGAGTTCATTAACAATTTTCGCCTACTTCAGCGCAGAATAGTGACATTTGTGGCTTGTTGATAACGTGTAGTTCGGATGAATGCGCTTTGGTCGTTCAGACTGAAGTCGCATGTCAAAAGATCAGATATGTATCGGTTTTAGGAGCACATATCCAAGTGTCCTGGGTCGCATATGAAAAAATCTGATCTGTGTCGTTCAGACTGTCATTAAAAGATCAGATACAGGTCACACAGGGGCCAAAAAATAGGATTTGGGTCACTTCAGGCTGCAGTCTGAAGTGGCCCAAGTAAGTTGTTCATGTTCTGGCTCCGGTACAAGAGGAACTTTAAAATCTCCAGGTGCTCAATGCTCATGTCCATGTTTGGACAACTTCCGTAAACACAGAGCACGCTCGCTGCGGTTGACGTTGTCGTGTCTCCAGTGCACATGCGGGACACTTTTGGGCCGTTTAATGTTCACACTGGAGATCACATACAAGACGCATTAAATTGGAAATGTGAACGACCTCGTAAAAACATCAGATTTCACAAAAAAATCTGAATTGAGCGTTAAGCCCTGCAGTCTGAACGTAGCCTTAGTTTGTGCTGTAGTACTTTGCTGTACTGTTACTGATTAGTTTGTTTCCTCTTGCTGTGAGTTTCATTGTTGACAAAAGTGCGCGTTGCATGCTGGGAATTATTTTGGTCGGCGGCAAGAAACACTAATTCAACATGACGGACGGAGCGAGAAAGCACGTAAAGGGTATTGATCCCGGTTATTTATCCACTCTAACGGCAGAGGACCCAAGACCATTTAACCAGAAATTGGTCATAAGCATCGATGGACGAATCACCCTTTTCAACCCCGACAAAAGGTGGACCAAACCAAATTTCTGGTCAGAATCGCCAACTACCTGGACAAATATTCACTTTCGGCGATATCCACAATGACTTGGTGGAAACTCCTGGGCCATTCACAGCAGAAAAGATGAAAACCTCCAAGAGTCTCGATGTGTTGTTGAACTTGTTGGAGTCCACGGTTTGTTAGGATCTTCTACGTTTGCTCTGCGGATGTTTGAAAGCCGTTTAATTCGCCGTTAGCGGTTCTTTTCACTCAGGAATACGAAAAAAGACATTTTCCTTCTTCCGTGCTTCTATTTGTGCATCCGATAATGCAGCAGGAATTGACCATTATCGGGGATAAATACGCGAGGTTACGCACTGTGTTTGACCGCTACCGTGTTTCTTGCCTCCGACCAAAATATTTCCCAGCATGCAACGCGGGCTTTTAATAACAATGACGTCAGCTGAAACTCGCCTATTTATGAATATGAACTGGTGCCAAGATGACGCTCTGACAAAGAAATAAAGGACGGGCATCATAAACCGAAGCTGCGGCCCACAGGTTTTCTGTCTGTGTATGTTAAATATGACGATATGATGTGGAAATTAATTAATCAATCAGCAAATTCTGAAGTTTAAAATGTGACAACACTATTGGAAAAAAACTGGTATAACACATGGTAACAAAGATTGCTCGCTGAAAGATGACAACATTTTGACAACGCACCGTTTCATTCAAGCCTCTATAACAAAGCATACTAACGACCCTGTTCTAATTGGCGTTAATCTCAAGTGTTAATAGAAAACACACCGACGCGTTCCGATTGGCTCTCGAAAATGACTCGTATCACCTCCGACTCTTATTAAAAACCGGTTGTGTACAAACTAAACACAAACTCCACGAACTTGAGACCCCGACGTAGAAACCGCGCTAATAACGTGCTATAATCAAATTAGCATTCATTTGCAGGTCCCTTCTGTCCCGTTTTACGCAAATTATCGGCGACAACTATTTTCACAGTTTTAATTCCGATTCCGTGTGAATGCGCTCGCCAGCCCGGCCCGCGTTTTATTTATAACCGTAATTAGCCGCACGCGATAATAAGCTCCATTCTAAGTGTTAAGTACCTGGGTTAAATTTAAGCTTTACAAATTATGCGCGGAGAGGAAAAATCTATGGGATGAGCGTCCATATTGGAGAGGTCAGGACCCCAGAGACGGATGTTTAGGGCGCTGGTCAATGTCCGGCGGTGACATGTTGGTGCGACGTGTCTCCGGAGAGGGGACGGGGTCGATGGAGATTTAGCGACCTTCGTGGTTTGTAATGAGGGTTTAAAGGGTTAGTGGTGTTACAAGTGAGAAGGAAAGGGAGCGCTGTGGGTCCGGTTGGGAAAATATAAGGAATTTTCTAGACAGACTTTTCGGAAAATGTAATTAAGACTTTCAAAACGGGTTAGTAAGCTGTAATATAACAATAATGCAATAAGTTTGGTTCAGAAATGTATGTTTCTGGTGTATACATTTGTCAAAAATGAATTACAGTATTTTCCGGACTATAAGTCGCTATGGAGTATAAGTTGCACCAGCCAAAAAATGCACAATTAAGAAGAAAAAAACATATGTAAGTCAGGTTTGACTACCCCAAATTTAAGACTTTTTAAGGACAGTTTTAAGACCAGTTAAATGAAAATTAAGACCAATTTCACACCTATTATGTGGACGAAAAATACCAGATCAAATTCTAATAATGACCATTACTCACTGCTTTAAATAACAAAAAATACTTTTAATATAAAATCTCATTCAGAACTCATCATAATACATGCATCACAAATTTTGTACTTCCAGTCATTGGGCAATTCATACTGGGAAGGATTTTCCGAAAAAAGTGAGCATCAAACCATCATGTTTATTTTCCCAGTGGGATGTGTCTACTTGACAAAGTCGATCTTTTCAAGTCTTTTGAATCATATCACTTTTGTTTCTGGTTCTGATATTGTCATATTTTAGTTCTGGGATTCGGACATTGTAATTGTGTGGTTGATGAATTTCCTAACAGCGGAAAACGGCTCGAGAAATGGGCTTCGGAAGTTTGCAAACTCCATAAATGCAAAAGGGAATCAGATGTGTGTGACTGCAAACCTTCCGTTCAAACTGTTTCCCTTCCCAACGGAATTGAAAAACAGTGAAAGGTGCGATGGGCAGGATTGATCCACAGGAAGGACGAAAAAGGAAACCTTTGGCTGCCTAAGAAATCATCCCGAGTTTGCAGCGAACATTTTGTATGTGAGGAAGGGAAGGGCAACAGTTTGAACGGAGGTTTGCAGTCACACAGATCTGATTCCCTTTTGCACTTATGGAGTTCGCAATCTTCCGAAGCCCATTTCTCGAGTCATTTTCCGCTGTTAGGACATCCAACAACCACACAATTACAATGTCCGAATCCCAAAACTAAAATATGACGATATCAGAACCAGAAACAAAAGCGATATGATTCAAAAGACTTGAAAAGATCGACTTTGTCAATAGACGCATCCCACTGGGAAAACAAACATGGCGGTTTGATGCTCACTTTTTCGGAAAATCCTTCTCAGTATGCATTGTGCAGTGACCGGCAGTCCGAAATTCGTGATGCATGTATAGTATGCATTGCTTGTAAAAAGGCCAAAAATCATTTATAACATTCTAACAAGACAAACTAAGTATTGTTTGCGCACACGTTCATTCAGGTTACGCAATTTCTCATTGTTTTTTTTTCCTTCCTCCGTTTAACATTGCACTGCAGCCCGGCTGAGTTTACAAAAAATAGGCTAATGAAATTTAAAACCTTTGTGAAAAAAATAAGACTTGGACAACATCAATTTAAGGCCTTAATTTAGAAACATAAAATTGAAGACCTTTTTAAGACTTTTAAGACCCCGCGGCTGCCCTGATGTGGACTTAAAACAGTTCAAGGTGTGGTATATTTCAAAGGAGAGAAAAAGATCAGATTTGCATCCATAACTACCAAACCAAATGAGTTTTAGTTACAAGACCAAATGTGTTTCTAAAATATAAAATAAACACACAATATTTGAATTTTCCTTACAGTGCACCTTGAAGATAAAATGATAAGTTTCGATGCTTGTGGATCAGAAGTTTAGATCGCTCTTTCAAAAGTCAGTAAAGCACCCGTCGAGTTACATAGGCCCTTGCCCGCGAAATTCTGCAAATTGAAGCGGCCAATCCTCTTCTTTTCCCAATATACAATCTGACAGTTGCCAAATTCCCAGATACTACAATACACAAATCCCCCGCGCAGCTCTCCTCCCTGCCCCCTGGCCTCCTGCGCAAATACTACCACATCAT